GTGAAAGAATGAAAGAAAAAAATTGAGAAGAAAAAAAGCAAGCAGCAGCAGAAAAGCAAGAATAGAGAAGATATGGAAATAACAACACTTAAACAGAATTTTATCAAGGGGTAGAAAACATAATATTCAGAATGGAATTGTGTGTAAAGTGACTAGAGAGAATAAAGTAACTTTGCTTGCACCCTGAGTCTTTCTAATAAACCCATTAGAGTGATAAATGGTGGGCAAAGGAGACCAATTATATGGCCATCATTTTGTTATGATTATTGTGGGACCAGAAATACATTTTATAAATATAGAATCCAAATTGCTTTATTTAAGGAGGAGTACTCATATTACTTATGTTGCGAATTTGTTTAGGGGAAACATATCTATTTATAAAATGTTCAAATATTTCCTGAGTTACAGAAACTCTTAAGTAGTGGAGGAAAATGGCAAATAAGATAGGCTCCACCCTCTCCAAGTTTACATCTAGTAGAGGAAACAGACAAGTACAAAGGCAGTTACGTTACATGCAATAATTGCTGAAAAGAATAAACACAGCCCAAAGGATCACACAGAAGGATCATCCAAGAAAATATACAAGTGAGGAAGAAGGGACAGAAGACATCTTAGTGCAGAAGAAATAGAAAGCAAAGCCTGAGAGATGAGGCTGAGTTATACAGAGGAGAGTAGCCTAGGGATAAAGGGCAGAAAGTGAGTAGTTTAAAAGAATGGTGCATTCTGATAAAAGCCAAAAAGAAAGCATGATATATCCTGGGAACTATGAAGACTATAGTATCAATAAATCAATATGTGCAGTTTGCAAGGAAAGAAATGGGGCTGAAGACATAAGGGCGAGCCAGAACACACACCATGACACAGAATTTGGATTTTATCCCGAGGACAAAGGGGGCCACTGAAGATCTGGTAACATTCATTTTCATACACTGCACATCTATCCATATGCTAAGCACTCTTTCACATATGTTTTATTGTTTTTTCCTCACAACAACCCTGTGAGGTAGGTGAAATGATTCCCAATTAACAGATTTAAAAAACAACCTTAAAGTTGTTAAGCAATTTACACTTGATTAATACCTACAAAGTGGCAGTCAGGATTCGAGACCACACTTCAGAAAATACATTAGAAAGATGATATACACATATATACACACACACATTTACCCACAAGACATACAGAAATTTCAGAATTATAGAAAAATTTTAAAGTAATAAATGCTTAATTCAGTTAAGATTAATTAAAGATAATGAGGTTTCTGGCATCAGTAGTCTTTTATGCAAACTTATACATTTAAAATTTTCAATGAATTCAATTTATATTGAAAAATAACTGCAAAATTTATAAAAATAAGCATAAATCATTTGATATATAAAATAAGAAAAGCAAAGATATGAGTATTATATCTCCACTAATCTATTGGAAACCATTTAGAAAAAAAATTTTTCATTTTTTAATTCTAAAACATTTAAATTCAAATTCCATATATTAGTCTGTGAATATAAATTATATTTTGGATAACAAGAAATGATGTATGAAATACTAAAGCTTGATTATCAAATGAAGTAACTCAAATACTGACGACTTAGGATAAAAAGAATTGTCCACCCAATCCTACATTGAAAAATCATCTCCCTATTACTTACAGTAAAACATTTGAAGGTGTTTCGTCTAACAAATAAAATTTGTTCAGATAAATCTGATAAGAAAAATAATTTAAAATATAATCTATTTGAGATGGATATAAAAATATGTACCTAATTTAAAAGAGTATTTTGTAAAACTGAGAACATCTGAGAATTAAAAATTATGGACTAAAATTCTATTTTAAAATGTATGTTCTTTAAAATTAGTTTAAATTGAATAAATTATGCAATGAAAAATATACTGCCATATAGTTTCCTATTTTCTCACCAATTTCACTATTTCTTCAGCTGGTTCTAGTATTAGAACCAGAGGCTTCTTAAAGCCTCTAATGGAAAGCTAGATGTTGCCAGGACATTATCACAAGAGGTCTAAGTATATATCATTCATACATAAGTACTTAAAAATTCATATAACTTGGCCAGGCATAGTGGCTCATGCCTGTAATCCCAGCACTTTGGGAGGCCGAGGCGGGCAGATCATGAGGTCAGGAGATCGAGACCATCCTGGCTAACATGGTGAAACCCCGTCTCTACTAAAAATACAAAAAATTAGCCAGGTGTGGTGGCATGCACCTGCAGTCTCAGCTACTCAGGAGGCTGAGGAAGGAGAATCATTTGACCCCGGGAGGCGGAAGTTGCAGTGAGCTGAGATCGTGCCATTGCACTCCAGCCTGGGCAACAGAGCGAGACTCCATCTCAAAATAAATAAATAAATAAAATAAAATAAAATAAAATAAATTCATATAACTTATGCACTCGTTTCATTTTTCCTATTACAAATAGAAAATTATAATGAGAAAAGATGGAAAACAAATATTTCATTAAACTTTATTCATAACCTATAATTTATTTCTGAATTCCAAAATTATTAAGTGAGTACTAATTAAGTAATAATCCTGCTCACAATTCTGGCCTTTCAAAGCATGAGGAAGGCCCTTTGAAAATCACCAATAGAGATAAGAGGTATCTATTTTATGAAATGGTGATAAACTCTAAAAAACTAAACAAATGTTCCAAATAAATAATTTAACTGAAACACCAAGAGTTTATTTTTGATTACACAAACAGTATATTTTCATTAAATTCAATAATACAGAAGCATATTCAATAAAAAGTTCCCATCTGATTCTTTTTCAAATCCCATACACTCTGGGTATAATAAAGTACAAGATTCATATGACTAAATATTGAATCAAGTAAGTTGCCAAACTTATATCATCCACATAAAGTCTAAAATATAAGAAATAACTTGTATAATTTAAAAATAGATACTAGGACACACAAAACAGGTACAGTTTGTACCTTTTCAACCAAAATTTAATATATAAAACATATAATCTATTCTGTCAAATAATGATGACTTCAGTAAATAAAATGAATGGGATTAAGTAATACTTACAATAACACTGTAGAAAGTGCCAAAGAATCAATTATAGTAATTCAAATATTTCCTATATTTCCTAAAATACTCTCTTGGCTAGAGATACATAGGTACATTATGTGTAAACTGTAAATATTTAAGTATTGATATTTACTTCTTTAGTGCTTTGACTATTAAATGAAATACTAAATCTATGCAAGGGGGTAAGCCTCATTACAATATGAGTTTTTGGTAACCTTTAAGTAAATTTCCACTTGGTGTAAGTAAAGCCTTTTATTCTTACTCATTTTATGCTTCCATGATGAGTAAGATATTAAGAACTGTGCTGCATTGTCCAAAAATTACATTTCAAAACAGTGGAGTTATCTACACTACAAAATTAGATAGATAATTGAAAATCATTGTAGGAAACCCAACCCCCTCTATTGATTCTAAAACATTATCACTCAGCATTTAATTAACACAAATAATACTCTAATTAGAACAAAGTCACTGAAGCCCAAATATCTTGATAAGGTACAATTCTAAATACATACACTACTAACCCTGAATTAAACAGAAAACACTTTAAATGTACCTAGAAAATCATTTCTTCTACCCAACTCATTTTACAAGTAAACAAACTGTGGAATGAAGTTATTTTTTATCTGTTTTGACTAAGAATCTATAAACATAGATATGTGCACAATATAATTTAACTTATGACACATAAAGTTACCTAAACCAAATGACATTATATTTAATAAGATTAAGACTCTGTGAAGTCTGAGATTCTAATTTTTTTTACATAGAGCAGTCTATAAATGTAGCAAAAAAGAGATAAAATGTCATACTATTGACTAAAAAAATCCTAAAATAATAAATATAATATACCGTATCATATTGTGTAACAACAGACACAGCTGTTTCTAATGATATTTTCTCTATTTTATAAGGCATAAACATGCCAAACTATTGCAAAAGATAGCACTCTTATAAAAGTGCTTTTACAAAAGAAAACCTCATTAAATAATTAAATGGGAGAGACTAAAACTACATTAAGCGAAGTTCAAATATTTACTGTTTCTTCTCTCCCCTGCTTTCCTCCCCAAATGTTAAAGAAAAAAAAAATGGGCAGAGCACAGTGGCTCACGCCTATAATCCCAGCACTTCAGGAGACCAAGGTGGGAGGATCGCTTCAGGCCAGGAGTTCCAGATCAGGCTAGTCTCAAACAGTGAGACCCTATCTCTACAGAAACTAAAAAGAAAAAAGAAAAGAAAAAAGACAAAGCCAGGTGTGGTAGTGCATGCCTATAGTGCAAGCATCCAGTTACTTTGATAGCTGGGAGGCTCTCTTTGATATTTGGGAGGCTGAGGCAGGAAGATCGCTTAAGCCAAGGAGGTTGAGGCTGCAGTGAGCCATGATCACATTACCATACTCCATACTGGGTGAAAGAGCGAGACCTCATCTCAGAAAAATTAACAATAAAAATAAAAAAGAAGTCAAATTTGGTGTTTCCAATCCTAAGAATCGAAACTAGTTCATCATAAACTGGCTTTGCTGCAAAACTCCAAAAGAAAGTATTAAAACCAAGACATAAAACACTGGAAGCAAAGCTAATTAAGACGTTCCTGTTGAATTACAATTTTTTTTTTTCTTTTTTGCTATTTTAACAACATGGCTCTGAAATTTTATAACATTGGTTTGGTTACTTAAAAATATTTAAAAACAATATGATTAAGTTCCATTCAAAGTGAAGAATATTGATAAAAGCATTTTAGTTTCATTTGCTTTTAGAATAAAAAGGAGTGCATCCATCTATTTGTTATTTAATTTCATACCAATCAGATGATCTTAAAATAAAATTTAGAGCCAGGGAGAGCAGCACTAAGTTTAACTGACCTCAATACATTTTTAGATGATGTTTCCCAGTTATTTGTTATTTTCTCTTATTGGGTTTTCCAGTCTAGGGCAGGTACACAAGAAACTTACAGTCTATGTAGTACTCCTAGTCAGTTTCACTCTGCAGATGGCACAGTGGAGAAATACCTTCTGTACAGCATCATGTACAATTTCTTCTGCAGCTGTCAGCACCTAGGGGAAAGTGCGCTGTTAAACAGTTGCTGCGTTCCACCTCAGAAGTGGCTGCAATTCGGTGGTGGGTGAAGTGACTCCTGTACATATATACAGGGATGAAAAGTACTATAGAAAATGAAAATATATAAGAACAAAGTGGCTGTCTGAAAACTTTGCCACAGCAAAACAGAATACATCACTCAGTCACAGAGACCTACGCAGATGGGCTATCATTCATTTAAAAATTGAATGCTAAGAATGATTGCAGGAAAGGCAGAAATACACTTACTCAATTCACAACATAACTATAAACCAAATGTTAAAACATATGTGTATGTTAAAAAATAAAACCCAAATACTTATATTGATTTATAACATTATTTCTACAGAAATTTACCTAAAATCAGGCCAACATATACAACAAGATTCTTTACTCTGATCAGCTAATTAATGTTTTTGGTTCCGATGAGAATTCAAGGGGGAAAAAAACAAAATAGGTAAGATATCGAAACTGAAGCACAAGTACATTAAAATATCTAAAACGGATTTTTAAAAAGCTATTCTGAAATTCCAAATGACTTTATATTTTAAAAATAATTTTATGAAATTAGTCCTCAACTGATGTCTTATAAAAATACAACTTTTTTTCTCCAAAATCAAATTAAGATAGACCCTAAACACAGTCTTTGTCCTTAGCCCATATAAACAATGAGTCAACCAGGTTTAAGATGACTTTAGTTCATTAGTACAGAAAATTATTACCACATTCTGCTTTTACTACAACAACCTGTCCACATAATTTATCTTTGATGCAATCAGAAAATCAAATTCAATAATTATTCTCTGAGAAATATCACTGAATCACAAGGCTGTAAGGTACTATCTCATCTCCTAGCTTGAGGCACAGCTACTATGTACATACTACTCTGAAGAGGTAACTTTACTTTATTCAAAATATTCGCACCTAGGTTTCTTTCTGAAACAGACTGAGGATGCTTTAGTGTCAAAGTCCAACAAACCTGAGCATTAGCATACCATATGTCAAACTTTTCTGAATCTCACTTGCTAATTAAATAGAATTTATTTACTTTGGCATATACTCAGTGGAGTTAGAGAGATAGCTGACAATTTTCTTTCAGCTTTCTTAAATTCTTTCTATAATAAAGCATAGTGTAAATATGTAAATTATTTTCCTTAAGTGACAAGATGTGGCTCTTTATTTTAAAAGATATAGAACAGAGATTCCCAATCTAGAGTCTACAAACGAAATTTAAGATTTCTAGGAATTCTAGGAAATCGCATAGTAAAATAAAAATATGTGAGTCCATACACACATTTTCAGGGGAAATGGGCCATAACATTTTGTTAGGTTTTAAGGGGCTCTGTAACCTCTCATGTAGTTTAAGAAACTTTGATAAATTATACTCAAGAAACCCAACAGAACAAGCAGAAGTAATCCTTCTAAATTAAATGTGTAAATGAGCAGCTGTTTCTTCTCATGTAAAATGAGTAATAGTAACTTGAATGGATATTCCAACTACAAAATGAAATAATGCATATCAGACACATGATATAATACCTGGCCTATTATTACCAGTAATAGCAATAATTGTTCAAAAGAGCTACCTCAAATAACTATGGGATTCTACCTTTGTTTACTGCTACATAATTTCATAATATTATTTATTATTTACCCATGTCTTCTAAAATAGATCAATATCACAAACTATACATTTCTGCATTATTTTCAAAATAAAAATGTTAAGTATAAGTTTTAGAATCCTGCCACATACCTCTGGAGTCTGCATTTCTCAAAAAGACACACTGGTCCCTTCTCACACACTGTATTTACTTGGAATAGAGTCAGATATAGTAAACATTTTGCTTAAATTTTATATAAATAATGTCATTTCATTTATCAGTCTTTTATTTATATAACAATATACAAACAAAAAATCTAAATTTGAAGAATCTAGCAGGGGATCACATTTTTTTAAAAAGTAATGCACATAATACTTTTATTTGTATGAATCATTTTCTCTACTCCTTTTAGGTATTTTTCTGTAGATATAAAGATATAATAACCATTCATACATACATATCCTCCAAAAAGAAAGAGATTATCCTCACCTTTAAAATAATTCACAATATTACAAAACAGTAATACAAAATGGTGTATGCTCCTCAAGATTGTGGTAACTTAAATACTCATTTATAAAATGACAAGTAAATTCTTAACAAATCCTAAAGATACTCAGTGAGGAAAAAGACTTGCTAATACATATAAAACAATAGCATACAACAACTATACAGGTGGTTCCTAACGACTTCAAATGTAAAGAGTGTTTTCTACTCTTCTCATAGAAGTTACATTTATGTATTCACACAGTAAAAAATATATATATATAGCAGTAGGTTTTATGTAAAAAGGCACAGAAGTAAAGAGAAGCATAGTTTAGCATTCAGAATACTGCAATGAAAAGGATGTGAGTGGAATAGAGTCCAAGTAAGAACCATGAAGAGAAAGAGAATAGGCACAGGACCAATTATGTTAAGTAATCTTCGAATGTTTTACCCCAACAGTGGCATTTAAGTAAATATTGTGTAAGAAATAATTCTAACAGCATAGAAAATGAATTATAGGTATGGATGATTCAACTGGGGTGATGATAATGGGAATATACAGTTAGAAATAATAAAAGTGATAAAAATTAAAATTATACTATGTAGAACACTGGAAGAGTAAATAATGAAGGATAAGTTAAATATATTTTCTAAAGATTGAATCTAATAGCTAGAATTCATTGATTCATTTATTCACTCAACAACAAAAAATCCATTGTTTCCTATGGGTCAAGGACTATTTTAGGCACTGGGTAAAGTGGTGAACAAAGAAGTCAATGTCTTGTCCTCTTGAGAATCATGTTAATATAAGTCATATAATAAACTATTAAATATACAATGTAATGTATGAAAATTAGTGTATAAACCAAAAATAAAGCAAGTGATGGGAAGAAAACAAATATACTATTTTAAGTGTATTCAGAGAACACTAAGGAAGCAGCATGATTTAAATGAAGAATGAAATGAAGTGAGTCTACTTTCTGGAGTTTTAGAATACCACATACAGAGGCAGATGGTAGAGTGATAGCAAAGCTCTGAGATAGGAACATGTGATCAAAAATTTAACCTGCTGTCAGATCATCTAGGGCCTTCCAAGGTTTAATATGGACTTTGGGTTTGTTTTTTGTTTTTACTGTTTTAGAAAGTCACTACAGTATTTTGACTGAGGGAATGATATAACCTGTTTAAAAGGGTTACAACAGCAGCTGTAGTGGAATGAACTTCACTGTAGCTAGGAGGAATAAAACTACTAGGCAAGACTGGTAAAATGTATATAATGAGATATCAGGTAGCACTTTCCCCATTGCCCAGGGGCTGGCAATTAGAACCCAAGGCTAAGAACAAAGGCATCTATCAAGCATTTTATATTTGGAAGACAGACTTAAACAAATGAGAGCCAACTCCACCTCCATAACTTCAACATCTTTACCTTCCTTAGTTCCTCCTTATCCAGAAGTGCCTTCTCCTGTCCCCATTACGAGGCAATCATCAGAGTTTGCTTCACTGACTTAATGTAGCTGAATAGGGCTGTTGCTGAGAGTCCAAATCAAGCGAGAGTTCATCTAAAAGATTAGTAAGAAGGGAAGACTGGTATCTCATCTCTCAGTTGGACCTCTGCTTGTGTGTTAGACTTCCTTATTATCCCATGCCCACTTCCCTTCTCTGTGCCTATTTGAAGAGAGGGAGAAAAGACATGGAGTTGAAAGACAGGGTACAGATAATTGGATTCCCTCTCTGCAAAAGCAAAGAGTGTAGTGAATGTGAAGTGAAAGCAGCTGGACTTGAGCCTCCAGGTGATGGGGACTCAAACAGTCAGAAGCTGTGAATGTACTGGAGAGGTAAAAACGGATAAAGAGTAGAAAAAGACAATTCAGAAATGGTTGGTATGACACTCCAAAAACAATCCCCACACTCCCCACCAAAGTTGTGTACATGTGCCCCATCAGAGAGCTAGTAATCATCTCCTGTCCTCGTAGAAAGAGGACTTGGCCCGGCCTGGTGGCTCAAAGCTTTAATCCCAGCACTTTGTAGGGCCGAGGTGGGCGGCTCACTTGAGGCCACGGTTCAAAACCAGCCTGGCCTATATGGTGAAACCCCATCTCTACTACAAATACAAAAAAACTGGCTGGGCATGGTGGTGTGCACCTGTAATCCCAGCTGCTCAGGAGGCTGAGGCAGGTGAATTATTTCAAACGGAGGCAGAGGCTGCACTGAGCCAAGACTGTACCACTGCACTCCAGCCTGGGTGAAAAAAAAGAAAGAAAAGGAAGAAAAAGAAGGAAAGAAGGAAGGAAGGAAGGAAGGAAGGAAGGAAGGAAGGAAGGATGGAAAGGGAGGGAGGGAGGGAGGGGAGTGGGAGGGAGAGGAGGGGATGGAGACAGGGAGGGAAGAAGGGAGGGAGGGAGGGAGGGAAGGAGGGAAGGGAAGGAAAGAAGGACTAGTCAGTGTGAGGCAATGGAGCAGAAACAGAAAAAAGGGAACAAAAGGTACTACTTACATAAGAAAGTCTTTTCCCTTTCTACCTTTCCCCTTACATCATCAGCACACACGAGGAGAAATAGGTATATGAGAGGGAAAAAACAAAAAAACAAAAAAAAAAACACAGATCATTCTCCACTCACTGGATTGAGCAAAGGGAATGACTAGACTTCAACCTCTCCCAACACTCTATAATCTCCCAGAAAAGTCCAAGTTATATTGACTGAAAGAAGAGAAATTGAGTTATAAGTTGGCTATGAGGTTAAAATTCAAGTTAAACTGACTTTACTACATTAAAGTCAGATTAAATTAAAGTGCCCAGGAATCTATGACATCATCTTGAGACAAGTAAAAGAAACAAAAAAAAATGATTTGACTAATCGTAAACAAAAAAGGTCACATTGGAGAAAAATAAA